GGATTAAAGAAATGAGCGATAAAAACATCCAAGACATCCCAAAAAAATTCATTTTCGAATTGGGATGATCCTGACTTTGCTGTTGGTGTTGCTGCAGGAGGAAGTGGCCAAGAACTTGCTGGCAGAGTTTAATTTGGGCTGTGATGCCCACCAGACAGAGCACGTGTACCGGGTGTACGTGGCCACCTTCCTGGGCTTCGGGGGCAACGCGGCCCGCACGAGGTACGAGCAGAGCCTGCTCTCCAGCAGCCTCCTCAGGAACAGGTACTGGCAAATTCCGCTGGAATTCGGGGCTGCCCCAGCCCTGGGAGTGCCCCAAGGCTCGGCTTGGAGCAGCCTGGGGTGGTGGGAGGGACGGGAATGGTGCTGGAAAAAGGAGAGGGATGCTGTGTGGAGAGATGGTGGAACTCTGAGTGTGTGATGGGAAAGGGAGAGGGATTCCTCCTCAGGAACTGGAATGACAGGACAAGGAGTAATGGGTTCAAACTGAAATTTAGGGTGGATTCATGGAAGGAATTTTTCCCATTATGAGGGTGGGAAGGGGCTGGGATGGAATTCCCAAAGGAGCTGTGGCTGCTCCAGCCCTGGGAGTGGCCAGGGTCAGCTTGGAGCAGCCTGGGATAATGGGAGGTGGCCCTGGGAAAGATGGGAATGACCCTGGAAAAATGGGAATGATGCTGGATATTGTGTGGAGAGATCACAGCACTTCCAGAAGGGAAAATCTGGGAAGGGGAGAGGAATTCCTCCTCAGGAACTGGAATGACAGGACAAGGAGTAATTTGTTCAAACTGAAATTTAGGGTGGATTTGTGGAAGGAATTTTTCCCATTACTCCCAGCTGGGTCTGGAGGTTCCTGACTGATCCTGCTGGACACAGCATTTGGACACTGCTGAGCTCTGTCTGTCCTTGTCCCCTGCACCCTGATGAGTTCTTGTCTGTCCCTGTCCCCAGGACATTTCTGAGCTGTGTCCCTGTCCCCAGGACACTCCTGAGTTGTCCCTGTCCCCAGGACCCTCCTGAGTTGTCCCTGTCCCTGTCCCCAGGCTGCAGGGCTCTCGGGCTGGGCTCAGCCCCGATGTCCCTGTCCCCATCCCTGTCCCCAGGACACTCCTGATCTGTCCCTGTCCCCAGGACATTTGTGATGTGTCCCTGTCCCTGTCCTCAGGCTGCAGGGCTCTCGGGCCGGGCTCAGCCCCGATGTCCCTGTCCCCGGGACATTTCTGAGTTGTCCCTGTCCCCAGGCTGCAGGGCTCTCAGGTCGGGCTCAGCCCCGATGTCCCTGTCCCCAGGACATTTCTGATCTGTCCCTGTCCCTGTCCCCAGGCTGCAGGGCTCTCGGGCCGGGCTCAGCCCCGATGTCCCTGTCGCTGACCCGTGCCTGCCCCGGGACGCCCGGCAGGAGCTGCAGCAGGCGGGGCTGACTCTGCATTTGCGCGGCACCGGCCACTTCCAGCAGTGCCGGCAGCTGCTGCAGCCGCTGCTCAACAGAACCAACGAGACCCAGAGCTCCCTGAACGGCGTCTTCCAGCCCCCCCTGCACTTCCAGAGCAGCGAGTTCTACGGATTCTCCGAGTTCTATTACTGCACCGAGGATGTGCTGAGGATGGGAGGGGATTACAGCGCTGCCAAGTTCACCAAAGCTGCACAGGTGAGGAAACGGGGATCGGTTCCCTCGTTAAAACGTTAAAATATTTTATTCCCAAAGTCCTGCAGCAAAATTCTTCCTTAAGAAAGCCCAAACTGCTAAATTCGCTGAAGCTGCAAAAGTGAAAATCGGGGATAAATTCCTAATTTAAAATATCTCTCCACAAGGATTTCGTTGCCAAAGCAAAGGTTTTCCCTAAGAGATCCCAAA